AGAATCTAACAAGGAAAAATACAGCAGAGAAAGAGTAGAAGGGGACTCCGAGGTCTGCGTACGCGGCAGATATACCTTAAAGTCTCCAAAGCTGTCCCGGCTCACTGATAGTGCAGCTGATAAGGTGTACCTGGATCTACACACGAAAAATATGTGCAGAGAGTACCCAGTAAGTGCCAAGCCTAACCTCCGTCGAGTAGTGACGAGATCAGGTCAGGGCCCTACTGATAAATATATAATAAAACAATATAGAGTGTAATACCGCAATAAAAATAAAGGCTGAAATTTAACAACAATGAAATCATAGAAGGTAACAACTCAGTACACAGAAATACAACAGGGGATCTCCCGAGATACCGTCTCGTAGTCCCAAACGTAAATGTGCAGGGGGATCTCCCGAAATACCGTTCCGTAGTCCCAAAGTAAATGTGAACGTAGTTCCCAAGTAAATATACAAGACAGGAGAATCTCCCGGAATACCGTTCCGTAGACCCAAAGTAAATATGTAGTACAGGGGGATCTCCCGAAATACCGTTTCGTAGTCCCAAAGTAAATATGCATCGCGAATGATAGAAATACAACTACATCACGAAATTCTTACAATTTAGACTAAGTACTAGTCATGGAAGAAGCAGGAAATTCACTAAGCATGCTGCACATAATTCACATAAACAATTAAGACACGTAGACATGTTGTATTAGACTAAACATGATAGCTACACATATTGGAATAACTCAATTAAGAATGAGAATAGATTAGTACTCATTTAAAATGGTATAACTCAAAATAACAGGAAAACATGTTGCTGCTCGGTAAGAAAATTGGATTTTACTACAACTAGTATGTGTACGTACTCGTCACCTCACGTACCCGGCGCTCACATAGCACAATAATTCCATATCTTAAGGGGATTTTTCCCACACAAAGTTAGGCAAGCCACATACCTTGAATCAAGCTCAACCAATCGGTCATAATGCCTTTCCCACGAATATCGGACTCCGAATGTCCCAAATCTAGCCAAAAGCAATTACATATCTCAACAATAATAGACTCATCTAATTAACGAAATTAATATTTTAACGAAAATTTCAAAATTAACTCAAAATCGCCCGTGGGACCCACGTTTCGGAACCCAACAAAAGTTACAGAATATGAACGCCCATCCAACCATACAAATTTTACCAAATTCTGACATCACTCGAACCTCAAATCTTCAATTAAAGTCTATGAAGATTTCTACCATTTTCAACCCAATCTTTACCCATTTGAACTTAACAATCTTTCCACAACCTTATTGGTATGTATACATAATACTCTTACACCCAAGAATCATACTATTAATCACCCATCTTTACTCCAAACCCGAAATTGAAGAATTGAGGAAAGAAATTCTTACCTCTTTGAAGCCCTAGCAAGATCCTTGTGAAATCTTCAAACCTTGAACAAGAAATTGATGGATAAATGACTAAGTCTTCACTCTCTCTCTCTCTAAAATGCTCTCACCTCTCTCTAAAATATCAGATGAAACCCTTCAAAATGACCCCCAATAGTGTTTTATAAGAATGGGGTCGGGTTTATAAAACCTGAAAAATGAAGCTCCGGAACAGATTTTTCGGTCGCATATGCGACCGCATATCGGTCTCATAATCGGTGTCCAATACTGGCAAATATCTGTCTGTGTATGCGGTCACTATGCGGCCTGCATACCTGTTTTGCGATCGCATAGTGACCGCAGAACAGTTATGCGGTCGCATAGTCGACCGCAAATTTCATCCAAACTGGCCCTCTTCTGCGACCATTATGCGGCCCGTAGAGTGATTATGCGGTCGCATAATGGACCGCAGAAACAAGTTTTTCTGCCAAAAATTTTTCTTTACTTCTTGGTGCATTGTTCAACCCAAAAAGTCCGAGCCGCGGCTCGCTCCTTTGTACTAATTGATGTACCTCGATACCACAAAACCTTAATTTCCTTAGCGAAAATTCGCCGGGTCACTACACATACGTCAACATCTGGTCAACCTTTTCAACTAAATTTCGAAACCTTGGAACTAGGTGTTCCAAATTATTCAAAAACTCACCGGACCCGAACCAATTACTCCCGGCAAGTCACATAACAAATACAAAGCATAAATTGAGCAGTAAATGAGGAAATGAGGTTATAATACTCAAAACGACCGGCCGAATCGTTACAGTGAGTTCAGAATTGAGATGAAACAGACGAGAGTAAAGGAAAATATTGAAGTTGGTACAAGGTAGATGCCAATACTAGTATCAACAGATGATGGGAACCCTCCACCATTGATCAAATATCTCGGATTCGAGCGTTGGAAATGAGAAAATAACTGATAGGAAGCGATTTCCCCTTTAATGCGTTTTTACCCAATGCAAATGCAGATGGTAAGAGCCAAAAAGAAAAAGAAGATGCACATTACTATAATCTCTCTGATTCTCTTTCTCATATTCTTTTCCGGCATTTTGTTTTGGTTCAAGAAAATTAATAGTACTAAGCAATAGATGGCAGGAGAATCTATTAAAGAAAAGTGCATGGTTAAGTTTAAAGCCTGCATTTAGACAACAGGATTAGCTTTATCCAAAGGCATTATCAGAGATTAGAAAAGAAAGGAATCCAAACAAATACGCATATTGCAGTCTTTTTACAGTTCCACAAGATGTTGCACCGCCAAGGTTTCGAGTACCGAGATTCAGCAGCTTTGCATGAATACAGAGGCCGAACTGAGGGGAAAAAAAGAAATTTATTTATATATGGCGTTCATATTGATTTAATAAATACCTCTCATATGTCTTTCTTTAACCTGTCACCAAGTAACTATAGATACATATTCTTCCATCAATTTTATTACCTAAAAGCTAATAAATTTACTGTAAACATCTAATGTAATAAGTTTTATCGCTGAAAGAAATTGTCTGGTTTTGGATTTACAAGTAGCGCAGGGCCTTTTCCAGCAAAATTGGTGTAAACACCAACTTGAGTTCCCTTTAAAGCTATTTCATAAGCACCTTGTGTATATCGCTTAAATTGGCCCTTGAAAGTGTAATCCTTAAAAATCTAACATTATAATCAGTAAGCAATTCCACTTCAAAGCTAACAATAACATTACTGATTATATCACAAAACTGCTAATTAAAAAAGAAGCCCCTCCGTAATTAATTACCAACTCTGTATAACGATACTCTAGAAATGTCAGCTTATAGTACATCTTTTCAATTGTTTTGTTAAATCAGCAACTCAATAAAGAAGTAGAAGTACAAAGAGCCTAGAAATGACTATACTACTTTATGTACAGACAGATAAATGTAAGCTATAGCCCTCATAAGCAGACCCAAACGGACACAAACTATCGAGAAAGTTTAATAGTGGCTTTGTCTTGCCTTTGTCTTTTAATCAAACCCACTATTAAAGCCTAGCAGGTAAATCTTCTTTACCTGAAGCACAATAAGAAATAATGTAAAAATGCGCCCTTCCCCCCTTTATATTCCTTCCCCTAATCTTTTTTCTTTTGTTCAAAAGAAAGTATAAGCGAGGAAACATTATCTTTTGCCCAAGACCAATATAACAGTTCATTCCCTCAATGAATATGGGACACTCAAGACTCCCCAGCACGTCTAGAGTTGGATGTCTAGAGCGTGGGCGACATAAAAACGGAGGTCCAACAATGGGTAAACCAAAAATAGGGACGAGTCTTGCTCTAATACCGTGTAAACTATAAAGAAGATGGATTTCAAGTCTAACTCAATCTCAAATTCCTCATGAGTCAAGGACGGTCCAAGATCATACAAAGAGACAACTTTTCATTTCTTTAACTAATGTGTGACACTCTAACAACATTGAAACTACTTTTTAGATTACAAGCCTTGCATCGAGGTAAAAAGTTACTTTTTTCCAAAAATTTCGCTTCCAACAGTATATGCACGATTTTTTTTTATAATATATAACATACAACTTTAGAAAAAAAATGGGGCCCCCAAGCCATTGCTTTAGTTGCCTTATGGTTCAGCCGCCCGGGTGTCTTCTTCAAAATTTCAAGTATTTCAACAAGACAAAAGTAATCGTTATTTTGAAGCAGTGCAATGCTATTTCGATACCGTTATATCAACTTATCAAATTCTTGAGCCAAGTTTTATTATTCTAACATTATATTATATTTTTTCATTGAAAATTTGTCATTATTGATATTCTTACTTCCAAAGTATATATTCTTGTTTTAGTTATTATTAGATTTTATTCAATTTAAATATGTCAACTAGAAAATATGAATCCGGTTAACACATAATAGTTATTGTGATATTGATGGTTTAGATTTATTTTTCGAATTAAAGTGTTATGAGAAATAATAAAAGTAGAAGATAATGATCTAATCGAAATACTCAATCAAATAAAAAGACTTAATTTTTTTCCAAATACATATATTGCTTATAGACTAATGTTAACAGTTCCTGTAATTGTTGCCTCAGCCGAAAGAAGTTTTTCAAAACTAAAATTAATAAAATCTTATCTAAGATCAACAATGTGAGAGATTGAATGGATTAACTATATTATCAATTGAAAAGGAATTATTAGAACAAATCAATTATAAGATAATAATTAATGATTTTGCATCTAAAAAAGCTAGAAAAGTAGTTTTAAATTAAAATATATATGACGATCTTTTTTTTTTTTTGCCTTTGACATAAAGGAGCCAAGAGAATTATGACATCCTAGCTGTTTACTACTATTTCAAAAGAATTATAGGAGGGTGCTCAAAGATGGAGAAACATAACAGATAGGAACTACAACTGATGTTTAACCGTCCTATATGATTGAATGTTAACAGTGATGTAACAAACTCTACCTAAATGCAACAAGCTAAATTTTCCATAGTCCATCCAAGCCTTCCTCAGACCTTGTATTACTTCATCTTCAAGGCAAAATCAAGCTTGATATAAGCTCAAGTACACGGGCAAAAGATTAAATCATAAGTGAAAAAGGGATGAGAAACAACTAGTTACGCGGAGGCAACGAAAGCTTATACAGGAATCTCTTACAAGACTTGGCCAACTTAACCAGCTCCTTTGCATTTTCAATCTTAGAGTGCTCAACTAAGCCATCAACAACTCTCTGCATATTATCTCTATTAACAATTACTTGTAATTCAATAGATTTCTTGCACAAGCACAGTCCAAATTCGAACTTTTTCGTGTCACAAGCCAAAGGAATAAGCATATTAAACGTTGCATAGTCGGGGAGGCATCCATTTTGTAGCATCTTCTGGTACCGCATTTTAGCCTCCTCCACATTCCCCTCATCGACATACATCTAACCTCATTAACTTTAACCAAACTTCGTAATCTAATATTATAACTGCAAATATCAGGAAGAATATTTCTCTTTTCCATCACAACCCACAAATTTTCAGCTTCAGAATTACTTTTACTTTCATAAAGTGTGCTTAACAAGGTATTACAAGTCACAGTATCCGGCTTAATCCCATGCTCTTCAATCTCATCCATCAAAAGCACAGCAGAATCGAAAGAACCAGCCTTACACAACGCCTTAATCGCAAGGTTATAAGACAGTAAATTAGACTCAATCGACAATTTCGCGGGCATTTCACGAAACAACCCGCCAATTTCATCATATCTCTCTGACCTAACGCATGAATCCAAAAGGGCATTGAAGGAAAGGATAGTCCGTGGACACTTTAGTTGAGGCATTTCGTCGAACAGTTTACGTGCGTGATGATACATTTTCGCTTTCCCGTAGACAAAAATGAGGCGGGCGACAAAGGCCTCGTTACGAATATCTGGGTACTGTTTTTGATGCTCGATAATTTCTTCTATGCCGGAGAGGTGGTTGGCTTTTGCAAGGCGGTGAACGGCGAGTTCATAATGGATACGTCCTTCGCTTCGGAAGCTAGGGTGCTGTGATGATTCTTTCAAGAACTTTACAATTGCTCGGGGTGTGTGATTGGTGTATTTTGAAGAGGTAATGGGGGGTTTTAGCGGTTGCCGTGGTGTTGTTTACGGCGAGAATACCTCTCAGACGGCGGACAGCTGAAAAACTGGACATTTGATTTTGGCGCTGAGTAGCAATTTAAAAATGAACTTCAATTTTTTATTTATCTCGATCTTCAACAATCAGATAAGTCAGATGACTAAGACCCGTTTGGATTAGCGGATAGTAAATAGCTGATTAGTTTGAAGTGCGTTTTTTTCTTTTAAAATAATAAAACTGATTTTTAAAATAAATATTTACGTGTTTGGATAGAAGTGATGAAACGGATAATAAACAGTTGATATGTTCGATAAAAAAATATTGATAAGCAACTTGAATTTTTTTCAAAAGATTATAAATTAAAAAATTCTAAAAGAAAAGGAATTAACAACGAATATGAAATGAAGAGAAAGTCAAGAAATTTATTTTGTGAAAAGTATTTTATGAATTAGAAAATATTATTAAGGACCCGCACATAGCGGGGGCTTAATGCACCAGGCTGCCTTTTTTTATTAAACTAGTAAAAATATTGGTCAAACTAAAAGTGCTTATAAGCTAAAAAGCCACCAACTTATGACTTATGACTGACTTTAGCTTATAAGCACTTTGGGTATTTACCAAATGCGTAGATAAGTCAATTTGACCAGCTTATAAGCTTAATCAAACACCCTAATAAGACAACGTATAAATAGGAGGCGCACGTAAGTTTTCTATTAATCCGATTGGATTCCATCCTCTTAATTGCATAATATTTCAAAATTATATTAGGAAAAGTACATAAGTTACTCTTAAACTTGTCCGGAAAAGTCAGCGATGCCCTACCCCTATTCCACTTCAAAACTAGTATCATATCATATTATATCATTATATTATTATATTATAATAATATATTATATTTATATCTATCTATCTATCTATATTTATATTATTATAAAAATACGAATAATTTATGCTAAATATTATGTGACAAAAATATTCCTAAAATATTAACGTACACAAAGACTTAAAAGGTATATTTCGTTAATTAGAGTCCAAATAGACTTAACATATGTTGGTGTCGGCATTTGCTTCGACCATCTTACGTGGTATTATAATTATTGTAGGAAACAAAAATTGAATTTCATTATAACTAGAATCATGACAATTAATAGTCCTACTCAACTAAAACAATGGCTATTGCTTCGAATCCAATACTCCTTATTATAGTCAATTTATCTTCATTAAGGTTTAATTTATTTTTTTTAAAAAGTTTAATTTGTGGTATGTGAACTTTTGATTCCAGTGAGAGATTTTCATTGCAAAACATAGAGGCAAAGTTGAGTTCAAGGGAAATTTGAACCAAGCCAATTTTTTTTTTTTTGGTTATAAGTATGCTTTGTTCATCGTAAGATAAAAATTATATAGGCAAAGTAATCGGAGTACACGCTCATTTTTTTAAAAAACAAACGCCACCTGCTGGTGAGTGTTAAGGCATCATCCCGACCTATAGATCATCAAAGAGGAATAACATGCGGAGGAGGAGTAGTAAGCCTCCTCTATTTTTGTTTGCTTCATCTAATGTTCATTGTTGGATGATTTCTTGCTACTTCGAGGAAACTTTTATGGCATGCTTTCTTTATGAATTTTTTTTAATTCCAGATTTTGATTTTGCTAGAGAGTCTATGTTGATAGGATATGAAAGTTCACTATGCCGACATGAATATGTTTTATTAAATACTTTCTTTTCATTGTTTTTTTTTTGTTTTCTTCCGATTTTAAAGTTCAATCTATGTGTATTCATCACATGATTTAAAAAGACAATTTCATATTGGATAAAATCATAATATGCAACTTGTCACAAACATATGCCAACTTTGTAATTGTTCAAACTGCAAGATCCGTTACATGAATATTGCGGAATTGTTAAAATTTTGCTGTAAGGCTACAATTCATAGATGGTCTTAAGATATTTTTCTCATGTTTCCTTTTACTACTTCAAATAGTATTGATTTTTCATTATTGGAAAAATAATACTCAATAGTAAAATCATAATTTATGTGGCTACGTTTAACTGGGGCATATATTTTAAGAAAGTTAAAATTATAGATATTTGTACATTGTAAATTATCTCATTAAGGGTAAAATGATAAGTTTATAATTAAAATATTTTTAAACATAAAATATGTCGTTCTTTTTTCTTAACGAACTAAAACAATGTGCAATATAAAATGGATCAGAGCAAGTATATTATTCTAAAAATACGAATGTGAAAAAGAAATTTAGATACAATCTGATTTTCATATTTACGTTACTCAATATTACATACTCAAAATCTAGAAATAAGAATACTTTAACACAAATATCCAAATTAAAATATTTACAATATTTAACTCAAAATATACGTGCTTATTGACTTAAATAAATATTTTCGGAATAGTTAGGGCTGCTGTTGCGACCAAACACATTCACGCAAGTATACGTGGTCGTCAAGTAATAGAGTAGCGAGTAGAGTATCGTTCCCACGAAGACTTATGATTCACTTTTTGACTAATTCAAACTTAAATAACTTATCGATTCAAGCGATTTCTTACAAAATAGATAATTTTCTAATTTACTACCTAAAAACTATCAAGTAATGAAATACTAGAAATCAACCACAACACTTAAATAGTTTTGAATAACAATCAATAGGAGATAATATTCCAGGGTCACGGGTTATCTAACAATCATGTTGCATTCTTAGCTTAAAATAACTAATTGATTTATCTGGATTGTTGATTGACAGGGTTGATATTACTCATAAGAATCTGTCGAGTCCTTACTCGCCTATTTAAGCTAACTTAATACCTATATGTCTATGGAATTAAGATTAACAAGAACGCATTTACAATTCCTGTATTGCAACCGAGCAAGACAATTAGGTATATGTCTATCCTAATTGCGAATCCGTTCCCCGATGCACGGGTTTAAGAACTTGCTCTATTTAATTCTATATGCAATCTAGAATTCCCACTTTCGAGTTCAACTCTAGATTCGTAGATAGTATTTCACTGTTAGCTACTTAGCAAAATAATTAAAAACAGAATTAAATAATCAACCCAATATGATAAAATCAACTTCGTCAAATTAAACTTCAAACGTCAACATTCATGTATACCCATGACCCTAGAACAATAGGGTTCTTAGCCACTCATGTTCATACAATCATCAAAAATAATGTTTTCAAACATAAAATCAATGAATATTGGGAAAGAGATGGAAGAATTGATCAAATCCTTGCTTCCGAGTGTTTGGCGCCTCCCCCTTCTCTCTAAATCACGTCTCCCCCTTCAAAAATAGGTTTAGGTTGGATTTTACATGAGTTGGGGGTGTCTAGGGGTCGAAATAACCGAGTCCTAGTTGAAAAAGGACACTTTCCCATCTTGAGCATACAAGGCAGCGTGGGGCGCTGGCCCTGGCGCTCAAATATTTTGGTTGCTGTAAATTGTGCCACAGCCAGCGCCCCACGCTGGCTGTGGCCCTCAAATTTTACTTTTTGCCTTTTTGTCCAGATTTTGCTCCAATTCGCGCCCTTTCGTCCCAAATTATATCCGAATGATCCCTACACATAGAAATACAAAACTTTAGCACAAATAATCATATTAACCATCTCAAATCGTCGAGATATGAGCAAAATGTGAGGCGATATATATCAAAATATGCATACATTAAGCCGATTATCAACACCCCACACTTAGACTCTTGCTCGTCCTCGAGCAATGGAACTATATTAGCACCCCCAAAACGTACTTAGCACTATGAAAGAGGACCTCACAATTAACTCAATCAAACACCCTACCTTTTGACTATGATCGATGTCGGCAATTAAGCATGAACACACAAATTTCACATTCTTCCCGTTTTTAAATAGCCCAAGTATACTCAATGTTTTTCAACCAACTCAATCAACTCAAGCAACCTCTCCACAACCACCTTACCTCAAGAGACGACTCGTTACCACTAAGCATCCTCAACTCACGCACTCACCCAACACAAGAAAGTGTACAATATCACCAATCCGTCATGAGATCAAGTGCCCTCACCACAAGCAAAAGAGTGAATATCAAAGTAGTCCACAAATTTAAATATGTCATTGAATATAAATTAAGGACATCACACAATTGAACAACATTCACTCACTCTCACCAAGAATTCATGTGCATCCCGTGATCGTACCATAAGCTTGCCCGTAGTGTACATCTCAACTAATCTAAGCTAGCTAAATCTAGGATCAATTAGGACTTTAAGGTTGTAATATAGGCTAAGGGATGGGTAGGATACATTTAGGAATAATGACTAACCCTCCTAAGAACTTTAATACACTACACTCACAATTCAAGCGCAATTGCTTCGCAACCCATTCACTTGTCATACACCATAACTAACATAGCCCTCTTTTTCATCAAGCACCTCAATGGTTTCACTAGCACGAGTGAGAAGGATTAGGAGGTGTGTCTTTCTACATTATTTGAACTTTTGTTTGCTCTTTCTTGCAAAAAATTTCCTTTTTTTTTTACACACACTCCATACATTGAAGTTCATAAGCTAGTGACCTTTATTCATAATTTTAGTGCACCTTAAGGGTCCTTCCATGGTTTCACTCGAAAGCCACTTCCCAATCTCCCACCTTACTTCTTCTAGCGACTAAGTGCCTTAGGAGGTAAAGGTTCAACAATCTCACATTAAGAACAAAGTAGGAGTACGGCTTGTAATGTGGGTGCCAAGGAAACGGTCT